TCTCTGCCAGCAGCGCTGGCTGGAAGAGTCAAGGGAAAATAAGTGTTGCAGCTTTGATTCAAGCTTCTTGGCAAGAAACCCTCGATTTAACAGTAAGGCCGAAGTTCAGTGGATGCAGAATCTTTTTTTTTTTTTTTAAATCGAGGCCTTGGCCTTTTATGGTCCCTTTATAGGTCCCTCGCTGAACCTTTCAGGCATCAGCCCTGCTTGGCTAAGCCCGAGGGGCGAAGAGGGACTGCTTAGCCTAGAAGTGTTAGGCAGGGAAACTGAAAGCGTTGGAAACTTCCTCTTACAGGCTTCCTTATACCTGCCTGCGAGTAATCTCGCTGAACAGGCAGGCATCTGGCAGGGACCCAGCAGCCAAGTGCTGCCTGCGCTCTCAGGCGAGCTCGGTGCCTTGGCTGCAGGTGAGAGACAGCAATGCAGACGCGCTGGAACTATATAGTTTGGGATTTCTGTCCAGCGACGGTGACAACCACCGAGTAGAGACTCACTCTTCCAGTTGTGGAGAGGAAGCTGAAGCGTTGCTGATCAGCTTTTTCATCTAGAGGAACTAGGCTGCCCACCCTCAAAGCACATCGAACCATAAGTCTCAGACTGCTTTCTGGAAGAGAATCTGAATTTCTTGCACTGGATTCGGACCAGAGGAATAGTGCAGCAGCAGAGATGTGATTATATGCGCTGGGCATGGTCTACCTGAAGAACTGGACCATCGGTGAATCCTTCACCCAAATTTACAGCTTAAAATGATTTGAAGCAGCCGCTTTCTGCAGAGATGAGGAGTGACTGTAAGCACGGAGTTTCTGGATACCCTTGTGCTTCTAATGTTTCTTTGTAAAAGGTTCCAGTCTTACACTTGACCTTTTTAAAGAGATTTGAACTCTGATATTTGAATATTTTTAGCTGTGGATTCTGTTACAGCCTTTGAGTACCTGGGTCTCCTAGAGCTACCGGGAGGCTTCTTGGACAGCGTGGGAAGGATTGTCTGAGAGCTGGCACGTGTGTTTGGGTGCTTCGAGCAGACTGCTACTGCCTACTTGAAGCAGCAATCTTTGAGTATTGCTGAGCTTGGCTCCACTAAACAAGGCTGCAAAAGCTAGTGGAGATACTGGCATGCTCGTGGAGCTGTAAATGTCATGGCCTTGCAGTTTTAATCTCCGTTTACTTGCAGATGCACTCTGTAAGCCGTGCCCGGGGAAGGGGAAGCCGTGGTCCCCACCCAGCGTGTGCTGCTTGCTATGTTAAGGCATTTTAAGGATTCTGTGCCCAACTTCCTGGTACAAATTTTGGCCTCGGTTGCATTTGCTTCCCGTTGGGCGCAAGAGCAGAGCTCTGCACGGAGGAACCGGCCTCTTTGCTGGCTTCAGCAGGTGAACGTGGCTGGGAGGCAAATGGCTTCCTCCTTGGCAAGCTCTGGGTAGCGCTGCTGGCGTGGACTCTTTCCATCCCATAAACCGGGAGCTCCTCAAAACAAAGGGAACTTGCAGGGACCGCCATTGAGATGCCAAGGACTGCTTGCAGAGGCCAGAATAAATGGCACCTCGCCACCTTAACATAGCAACGGAGACAAATAAAGGCTTGTTTTCGGGGACCAAAACACGCAGATGGCACTTCCTAAACTCGGAGGCGAGGTGATTTTCACCGCCAGACTGGAGTAGGGACTGTTGCCAAGGGGCAGCCTTTGGCGGTGGTCCGCCCAGTTGCCTAACTGGGAATTCAGCAGAGCATCAAGCTCGTTGGCGAGCTTGGCTCTCGCCAGCATCTCCTGTGGCCGTCCCTCCAGGGGTTCTGTGGAGCCCTCCAGGGTGACAGGCAAACCTCGCTGCTGCTTGTGCTGTGAGTGGAGGTGCCCCTCTGGCTGTACAGGAGCTTCCTCGAGCTCACTCTCAGGCGGCCGTGCCTGCAACGTGGTGCTTCACCTCGTGTCTGGTTCCTTCTAGGTCAGCACACCTGGTGTCCCGGTACCGCCCACGGGCTCCCATCATCGCTGTGACCCGTAATGACCAGACGGCACGCCAGGCCCACCTCTACCGGGGCATCTTCCCCGTCCTGTGCAAAGAACCAGCCCACGACGCGTGGGCGGAGGATGTGGACCTCCGCGTGAACCTGGGCATGAACGTTGGTGAGTCGACGCCGCTCCAGCCTCACCCGGGGAACGGTCTGGTGGGACGTGGTGGTCCTGAGCACCTCAGACTGTGCTTTTTGGGGTTACCGAGGGGGACCGGTGACAAAGGGAGAGGAACTGGCTGCCTGTGTGGTAACGGTATCCGATTGGGAAATGGGGGACGGCAGTTGCAGAAGCACAACTGCATCCGATTGGGAAATGGGACAGCGGGTTTGTCACGGCTGCCTTAAAATAGGTTCCAGCAGAAAACCAGGTCGGTTTTAACGTGATAAGCGCTTGAACTGCGATGCTCATCACTCCTGAGAGACAAGAGAAGCCCGGAGCGGGGCGACTCCTTTCTCTGTCCCCTCTCCAAAGACCGTGCTGTTGAATTTCAAGCTCTGTGTCGCAGGGGAGCCCAAAGCAGAGGCGAAGGGTCCAAGATGGGCGGGCAGCGGGAGGACGGGGTCCTTGGTATCAACCCGGAGCCGCGGCTGCCCTGGGAGAGGCTGCCACCGGCGCCCCCGGGGCGGGGGGGGGGGGGGGGCGGCTCTGGGAGAGGCTGCCCCCGGCGCCTCGGTGGCGTGGGGAGTGGGTGACGAGCACTGTTCCCCCTGCGGCAAGCTGACGGCGGTGGCCCCCGAGCTCCGACACCTCCCTCTCTTCTCTCCTAGGCAAAGCGCGTGGGTTCTTCAAGAGCGGCGACCTGGTCATCGTACTGACGGGCTGGCGCCCCGGCTCGGGCTACACCAACACCATGCGCGTGGTGCCCGTTCCCTGAACGACTGACTCCAACCAGCAACCACCTTCCTTCCCCCTTCCCCTCCGCTCCCCTCACCCCTCGCGTTAGACCAGCCATCGCTTGCGATGTTCTCCTTGTCCCTAGAGTGGATGTAGGTTGCTAAACACCACCCAGCGCAGCAGCAGAAGGGGGAAGAGACCTTAAATCACTAAAAAAATACATACTTGAAGTGTTTAGTTTTTTTTAAAAAACCTTTCCCCGTAGTGAAGTCGTGTCCTGATGTACATCGGAGTCAAGGTAGGAGACTCCTCTTAGCCTAGTGACTGTCCTCAGGGTGTGAAACGTCCCTTTCCCTGCCCCTGTTTTGGGGTGACGGGGAAGGGGAGAGGCGACGCGTGGTCAACGGTTCCCCTGTAACCCTCCTCCCTCAAGGCAAGCTGCTACTCGCCCCCCCCCTCCTGTGCAGCCGGGACCTCTCCCGGCCAGAAACCTGCCCACAGACCAAATCCCAGGTGAAGCCAGCCCCCTCGGAGATGGGTTGTTTGTTTGTTTGTTTGTTTTTTTAGGGGTGGGGGTAGAAAAAAGGGCGCTGGCTCCCCGCGCGCTCCACCTCCGTGCGAAGGGCTTCCTGTGCTCCCCTGGCAGCGTGTCTCGTGTGTTAGTCGTGTGCCCCCCACC